GATCCGCCGAATCCACTTCTCTGGCTGCAATGCGCGCTCCCGACACAGGGGGAACAAATTTTCACAGGGGAACAGAATTTCTCACAAGACCGGAAGTAAGACCCATAATTGTTTCCCCAGTAAGCCTCCCAGGAATTTGTTAGCCGGCATGCAAGGTAAAATATTATCTAGCTTTCTGTTTCTTCATCCTTTTACAGTATTTCTTTCAAATTTTCCTGTATCAACTTTCTTGCAAACTAGCCATTACGTCACACTTTTAAGGCTAGTGTAGTTAAAATATTCAACAATCAGTTCAGCTTTAAATGACTTTCCAGACTATCTTACTACTGAGGTTTTTTTAATACATGTCCTGATTGTTGCCACAGCACTGAGGCAAACATGTGTGTTTTTGTGTCCAACAGCTCTAGTGGATATTACTTGCACTCTTTTGCTGCTCAATCCGGACTTCACCACTGCCTGGAATGTCAGGTAAAAGAAATATTGCATCCTAATGATTATATAGTTGTCTTTACAGTTTTAAAAAACAAAATAAATCTTGAGGAACACTACTAGAACATCTAAAAAAATTAATATTGTGTAAAAGTGCACTATTTCAGGCCAGTTATTTCAGAAGTGAAACTTATTTATTATATAGAATCATCAACCTTTGTTTCTTGTAATGTTGATTATGGGGTACACAGGAAGTGAATATCCAAAATTTAGTGTCTCAGAAAGTTAGAATACTGTGAAAAAGATAATTAATTGCAACTTATGGTGTCATACCCTAAGCAGCTAATTAAGTCAAAACACCTGCAAAGGTTTTCTGAGCCTTTAAATGGACTCACACTCTGGGACATTAGGATACACAATCATAGGGAAGACGGCTGGCTGGACAGATGTCCAGACTGAGGACAGTCATTGACACCTGTTACCAGGAGAGGAAGCCACAAAAGGTCATTGCTGAAAAAGCTGCTTGAGTGTGGTAGGAAAAGCACCACAAATGCACCACCAACAGGGAAAAGCTCTGCCTTCTGGGATTGCTAAGCGAAATCCATTCCAGAGGAACCATACACCGACAAATACTAGACATGAAGTACAAACGTCATGTTCCCCAAGTCAAGCCACCCCTGAACTCGAGACAATGTCTGAGGCGTCTTACCTGGGCTGAGGAGAAACGAAACTGAACACTTATGCACTGGCACAGAGTCCTGTTTTCAAATTAAAGTAATTTCTGCAATTCTTTTGGAAATCAATGTCCCAGGATCTGGAGGAAGAGTTGAGAGGCACAGAATCCACATTACTTGAAGTCTAGTGTCCACAGTCAGTCTACCAGGAAGTCCTAGAGAACTTCATGCTTCCCTCTGCTGACAAGCTGGATGGAGATGCTGATTTTATTTTCCAGCAGTACAAAATTCCAGCAAATGGCCACATCCTTAGGCGTGCGTGCGTGCGTGCGTGTGTGCGTGTGTGTGTGTGTGTGTGTGTGTGTGTGTGTGTGTGTGTGTGTGTGTGTGTGTGTGTGTGTGTGTGTGTGTGTGTGTGTGCATGGTTATTGGTCCTGTCTGTCTCTGTGTTGCCCTGTGATGGGCTGGCGACATTTTGTTCCAATTGGAAACTATTTGTTTTTAAATCATGTCTGACAAAATTACTGTTTCACTGATTGATTTATTGCAAATCTTTTTCTGCATTTTAAATATGGCTCTTTCAGAGGATTATAATGATGTGTGTTGTTACAGGAAAGAGCTGTTAGAGTGTGGTGCTCTCAATCCAGAAAGAGACCTTTACCTGAGCAAGCTGGCCCTCACCAAATTCCCCAAAAGCCCTGAGACATGGATACATAGGTAAGGTTTTAAAACTCAGATTTCCCTTTTTTTAAAGAATAGAACAAATGTTCTCTATTATTTCAAATATTTTTGTAGTGCTCACATTTTGGAAGTGAAACCCACAAAAATTGCATACGGAATCCAAATTAAATGGAAAAGAAAGACCTTTTGTGATGAGACTGGAAATACAAATATTTATCCTTACTCTATTTAAAAAATACAAACAAACAAATTGCACTATAAGACTGTAAGAACCCTGTAATTAATTATGTAATTGCTCATCTGAAGCCAAATGTAAACATCACAGCTAAAGTCCAAATCCAGGTGACATGCTGCACAAACCAAAAATGCTGTGCAGCATATGACATGCAACAACAAACTGTTACAGTGTCACAAGTCCTTCTCTTCTGATGAGATTTCCCAGTAGCTGTGATTTTTACGGTGCAATGTCTTGTACACTGGATTGTCTGTATGAAACAAAACATCTCCAAATATTTTTTTTAGGGTCTAGTGGCTAGGGCTGGGGGATATGAGGAAAATGTAATATCCTGATATATTTTTGCTATATCACGATAGACAATATATATCAGGGTATTCTTAAATGAGCTCCAATGTTATTTTAAACTATAGACCACTTG